TTTGTTTGTTTGCTGTATTCATACCTGCAATTTTGGAGATATAACATTTAATAGACAAATTGCTTATTTATCTACCTGATAATAAATTTTAGAAGGTATTTATAGTGTCTGTGTACCTCACCTGTACTCTGGTCACTCATTTTTTTTTTGAGCGATGCGGTGATTTTCCAGTACCATATATATGCAATACATGTGCAATATTGTGAGGTTCTCATAAGTTTTGCACTCAGTTTCTTCAAAGGCAGTAGTGAACCAGCTTCACATTTTCTGACATTTTAAGCCCCTAAGTCGATTCCGTGGAAATATCTTACTTTTGGCAATCATCTGCCTCAATAATATTTCTTTATTTTCCTGCTGGTGTAGCATCTTTCATCCTCAAATTACTCAGAGAGAGTTATCATAGCTTTCATTGCTCCCAAATGGAAAACTACCTATCATTCAGTATTTGGTAATCCATCAGGATTTTGCATTTTTATTTTACTCTGGAAAAGCATTTTGTGTGCTTTTTTATCTTTTTTAAAGACTTTCCAGATGTACTAATTAAATCATTTTCTTCTACATAATTAGGCTTGCAGCTACCAGTAGAGTTCAGTTTTACAACTAGAAAGGTCTTGGAATAGTCTCAGTGAGGATTAAAAAAAAATTGTTTGGATTTTTCATGAAAAGATGTGTGTGCAGAGTTCAGACACCTGCCGCGTTATTATTTTGATGCAGAGAGTTCAGACACCTGCCACATTATTATTTTGAGGCAAATAAATAATACTGGGTTCATCAAAGTCCACGGAAGACACCTGGAGCGGTTGGTTTTCCTCCGTACTGGCAGGTCCGGAGACAAGAGCGGGCCGCCACGTATGTGTGGAGGAGCTTCCCTTGCAGGGAGATGGCTCCGGATAAGAGAGGAGGTGCAAACTGGGATGGTTTCTTGCACCTGGCAGTTGCAGCCTCTTGCTCTGCTCCATGCACCAGGCAGTTGAGCAGGAGGTGGAGGATGAAGGTGTCTGTATTTAGGAGAGTCACTCCCAAATCAACTGTAGCAGAGCTGTGGGTGGCTCTGCAAGAGCCATGGGGATGGGCTGGTTACGAGCAATTTGTATTCATGGCCTTTGTATTTGTATTCATGCCCAAGAATCACCAAGTGTTGCCTTCAGTTCCCTTTAACTCCATTTATAAACTTAAAAAAAAATCTATAAATTGTTCCATTATTGAAAATAATCGTCTAATTGTTTTCATAATCTATAGCAATAATTTGGTAAAAAATCATGCGTTTTGTATATGTGATTATCTCCTATTTCCTTTAAATTGAAGTACATATTTTAAACTATTATGAGGTGCAATGAAAGCCAAACTGGAGGTAGTCTTTCCATTATTTCAGAAGGATGTAGAGGCAGCCTGCTGCAGGGAACTGTCCTATGCTTTTCTTAATTCTTCTTCTCTGTTGTTGATGGTTTTCCTCCAAGGTTGAGCAGAGTTATTTTATAATTCCAAAATCTTGTGCTGGTTTGGGGAAATTATTTATTTATGCATTTATTTTTACTGTCTTAACATATAACAAAAAAAAATCAAAAATCAAGTGAAAAGCACTCCTAGGATGTTCCCTTGACTGGAAATAGCTCTTGTTGTTTGACACATTTTTCAGTGTTTGTACGTGTTTGCGTTGTATATAAAACCAGGCTCCAACTCTCTTAACTTTCCCCAGCTCATCAGTGTGGGCAATAGACCATGTTTGCTGCTGCCTCTTCTGCCTGCCTGGCCGCTTGATGCTCTTGATCAGCTGCAGCACTTCCAGTATCACAGATGACAGAATAAAATGCAGAATGCATTTCTGAAGAAGTCAAAAAGGTCATGGAGAGAAAGAAGGATAGATATGGGATCGTTCGTCTTTTAGTTTCCTGAACAATCAAAAAAAAAATAGTATGTATAAAAAGCTTTAATGACTTTAATGTTGTATCTGCTATATTTATTTTTTAGTAACTTCTTTGATATAGAAGAATATAAAAATATTTCCCTCAATTTCCCTCAGAGCTTTTCTGCATTTTTTCCTCGTATTTACGTAGCAATTTTTATTCTCCTACTCCCTCTTTTTTTTTTTTTTTCGCTTTTTTTAATCCATGCTTATGGGTTTCTGGCAGTTTTAGGAATCTTCGGAAAAATAAAGGTTATCTCTGGTTTCTGATGACCAACAATTCACTTAAAAGAAAACACTTTTATTTTTGTGTTCAAAAGATTCAGCAGATCTGAAGTAACTTAACATAACATAAGTAACTTAAGCAGGAACATACGTAGGATCAACATCTTTCAAGTCTTCTTGGTCTCTTGGCCTACTTTGTTAAAAATGAAGTTTTTCTATTTTCTGAAATCTTTTATCTTTTCAGTTAATCTTGAAGTCTCAAAAACAGTAGTCACTTTTTCTTAAATATCATTATTTTTAAATGGTATTTCATTTTTGGGAGTGTGTGACTTGTGAATATTGTGTGCATGCTTTTACAACATTGACATATTTTCCCGACTGCTTGTCCTGTAGTTTTGTAGTTTGGGTTAAAACCAGCTTTATTTTTATTTGGGTTTGTTTTTCTTGGTTGGTTGGATTTCAGTGGGTAAAGATCTAGCTTTGGGCTATCATTTTTCTACAGGTAACACTATTTTTGAAAGTAGTGCAGCATGATGGAGAGCAACATGGAGATACTGGTGTTAGTGCCTTAAAATCTTCACTATGATCTTGTTCAGGTTACTTGCTTAAAATAAGAAACCAATACTTCCTTTTTCTTTTCCCCTGTTTTCAGCCAATTTTAATTTCTAACAACTTTTTCTTCAGCCTTCTGCAACCATTGTATCATCAGACTTATGGCAGGATTATGGTAGAAGTAAATAAATGAATCTTAAATGTTCTTTCTTGCGTTGAGTCTTTATGGTGAGCTGGACTGCTGCTTTGGTTGTTTGATATGTCAAGAATAGGAGCCTTTCTGGATTTGAAAGATGTGTATTTTGATCTATAGAAAGATGTTTCAGTTATCATAGTCAAAAATAAAATACTTGTGTTCACTCAGTATGATCCTATGTGTTTGGTAGTAGCTCTTTTCAAAAGGATCAGAGCATAAGAGAAAGTGGGGAATTGAGATGGTGAATCATTTAGTGAGATGGAAATGAAGTAATGGAGGTCGTGTTGGCAAACCTGATGTTGGTGGTGAGGCAAGAGGAGATGCCTTACTGAGATTAGCGTTTTGAGTGAGACAGTTTGGCTAGTCTCGTGAACACAAGAGGAGTTTGAAAATAACCAGAAACACCCTCCTCTTGCCTGGAAGTCACTAATAGGAATTGAACAGCGGCAATTTCTATGAGTTCTAGAGAGAATAATACCAGAAATTGCAAATCTGGTGATTGATGTTAAGGCTTGCTATATGGAGGCAACTGGAATGGCTTTTCAACTTTATTTTGTTTGGAAGTCTTTTGAAAGCAAAGTAGGAAGTCTTTTGAAAGCAAAGTAAATCTTTCTCTCCAGCATTATTGTTCTCTTCTTGTTACATCGGTCTGCAGTGGTTGGGTGGTGTGTTGTTAAAGCAAAGGCAAGTTCTTCTAACTGCTTGTGGCCATAGCAATGGATGGCAATGTTTCCCTAGCATAGGAAGCTGTTGTTTAGCTTGAGAAAATAGGAAGTTTTAATAACATGTACCTGTAACAGATATATTACAAGAGCTGTGTTTTTCTTTGAGATGTGTCCCATTCTCATTTTCATATAGACGTTACTTCTATTTTTATCCTTATGGGGAAAACAGGAGAACACAACAAACAGTTTCTGAATACTGTATCATTTAATTAGCTTGTGCACATGCCTCAAGTATTGTGACAGCATCTGACTTGATGCAACTTCTCAGCCTTTCCTGAGCAATTCTGCTGGGGCAGGATGCAGAGTTAGAACTGCTTCCACATACCTCCATTACTGCAGTCTTGAAGTGGGTGAATTTTTATTACCATTCTCTTTGCAAATACTGAGCGCTGAGTAGACGTGCAGTATGCTCAGACCTGTGTGTGAATCCACACATTTACAGGGAATTTGCATCACAGATGGCTGAATGATCACAAATGAGCTGGACGATCCTTCCCACACGGCTTGGAGAGCTTTGGAGCTGCTTGCTGAAGGTGAAAAGTGTTGTTGATTCCCAGTGTGGGCATCTGCATTTGAACACTGAGGGATTTGGCATGGCTCGGTCAGCTCTGTTTGCTCTCTTGCACCAGGTGTGCTTTAAAGAAGGGGAATTCATGTTAGCACATCTCTCTTTTGGGATGCAATGTGCTGGGCCACATTTGGCTCTTGGCACTTGGTTCTATGGGCATTGCAGAAGAGTTCACAACTTCCTAGTAAGCACTGTGATCTCTTGTTAGGTTGTATTAAAAGGGTATTTAGGATACACTAAAATGGTTCCTCTTGGTGAGTTCTTCAGATTCTTCCTCAACAAGAAAAAAAAAATGTCACAAAGAGGTCATCAGCCTGTTTTCTAAACCATACAGGATGTGCAAAGTTGATTTGTCCTGTCCCTGCTCAAGGTAAGGTAAGTTTTTAGTACAGCTGCAAATCTGGCACAAGTTGTAAACTAAATCATATTTGCAGTTTGTTTAGTGCCAGGCCAAAGATAATCTAATGTTTTTTACAAAAAAAAAGAGGAGAGGGAAAATGTAAAAATGTTCCTTCCAGGCACAATGTAAAATGAAGCTCAGGCTAAGCCTTTTCCCAGGCATGTGTGCTGGGATAAAAGTTCTCTGAAAGAAAGTGGGAATTAAATTAGGATTTTTATAGTGACTTTGAAGATTACCATAAAGGGATATTATCAGCTACCTTGGACTTTATTTAACCCGATGTCTAAAATAATGAAGACAAATTAAGATTTTTGTCTATTAACAATTGGGTTTTATCAGTGGCAGTGTATGTTACTGTGGTTTACAGGTAACATAGCTGGAGGCAAGTTATTCTGCATAGCCAGATTTCCCATTATCCTGGCTGCAAATAGGACTGGGGCTATGGAGGTGGCCCAGCCAAGAAGAGTTTGTGGGAGATTGTGGAATATAGTGTGGAGTTAAATCTCGGAGCTGGACCACTGGAGATTGTCAAGGTAGTAGTAAAAGAAGGAAGTGCAGTGAGGAGAGAAGAAGATATTTTTCTGTCTCTCTGTTCTGAGAGACAAAAATATATTTGTCTGCTCATTGCCCATTAAAGCTTCCGCAGTTGACAGTTTTGGTTGCTTCTTACAGTGTTTCTGCAGCCATCTTTTGATGGCTCTTTATTCCAGACAATTTATTTAGGACTACATTATTGATTTCAGGAAGCACCTAGCGTGCAGAGATGCTCTTGCTAATGATATTAGGACACTTGTCTGATGTTTGTAGTGCATAGAAGGGACTTACTTAATGTTTTGTTTTAATAGGCTGTGGAAATTTCTATTCTTAGCTCATACGTTTGTGCCATAGTATTCAGGCTCCTCAATTTGGGGTCCGCCTTGCACAGGCTGTACTTGGGAAACTTTTATTTTGTGCTGGCCACATATTTTCTGCAGGTAGATAATTAGGCTACAGGAACGGAGCAGGATTCGTATCAGAGGCCTGCTCTGTTTCTTCACACCGTAATGATTTAATTCACTGGTTTGACATTTTCAGCTGGAGCAAATGTAGAGACATCAAGAGCCAGGACTAGTAACTACTGAAATCATTATGATTATTGCAGTCATTCTCAAATATGGATTTATAAGAGGAGAGGAAGAAACATAACCTCTTATTAATATCATTTGCTATGGTGCATACTCCGCACTATGCTGCATGTGAACTTCTTATTTTGGTCACCGTCCCTACTTGAACACTAAGGCTGAAGCTGCTGATCTAGGTCAGTCTCAAGGTAATCTTGCATTCAAAAATGAGGTTGACAGGAATAAAGAGGACAAAATATCTGAAAAAAAAAGTTAATTTAAAATGGGAAAAAAAATCTGAAATTGGCTTTTCTAATCTAAAACCTGTGTTATGGTTCTGCTTATTTATTTTAAGCAGGCAAAACAATGTTCCTATGATTTTCCGAATATTTGAGGAAACCTTTTTTTTTAAGTGCAACTTGTAATTGCAGTTTGAAAAACTAAAGCTTTTTGTTTTAAGAAAAAGAAACAAAACACCCGTTTTCCCCAAAAAAACTCTCCTTCTAACCTATTTATATATTCTTGTTGTTCCTTACAAATTAATAACATCTCTGCTTGTATTATTTATTGCATCTAGAAATAAGTCAGTGAATGCCTAGAAGCAATTCAGTGCTACCATGGTGGTGATTTGAGCCTCACCTGTGCCAACACTTGAAAACCAGGCCAAATTGGCCTGCTTGCTTTTCTACTGTATCGTGGGTGAAGCACAAGTCCTAAAGATCTTCAGAAGTGCTGTCTGCTCAAATGAGAGGGAATCGAGTAAAAACGACAGCTCTTTTTGTGAGATTCACAATGCTGTGTGTCTCATGCTTCGTTTGTCACAAATATTTTGAGTTCAGGCGACAGTTAATCCCCATTTTGTCATGGATGTGTACTCACAATCATTAATTCTGAAATTGTAAGGCAGATGAAATCAGTTGTGACAATTTTGGGCCCCATGTCAATGGTGCATTTCCAAGCAGATGATGTTTTTATTTTTTGCTTGGAGGGTGGTAGGACTTTCAAAGGGCTTTGCCATGCAGCCACCTACCATGTATTTAATTGCTTTGAAGACTGGGAGGCTATTAAATAAAATAGCTTTAGGGTGTCTGTGACAGCCTATATCTTAGGCATGTGGCAGTGACCACATCTCCAAGCATCTGGGAGCACAGGAGTGTCGGTAGAGCTGTTTTTCCCTAGGATGGTCAGTCCCTTCTGTGAGATCTATCTGCCTGTCACTGGTGTTGCTCTTTCCCATGAAGGCTCTTTAGCTTGAAAGCAGAAAGATCCATTTATGACAACTCTAATTTACCACTGTCTATGTTCACCAAACATGTTTGGGTACTAAGGAAACAGGAGACGTTTAAGCCTAATTTGCGCTTGGCTTGTGCCTTTCGTTAAAGAGAAATGCCGACTCTTCGGAGACGGGGCATGCTGGTGTAGCCTCGAAGGCAGCTGCCATGCGAGAGACAAAGATAGAGGAAAGCAGACTAACGGCAGGTACATAAGTGGTATTTTCATACCAGGACAAGGGACAAGGTGTGTGTGGGGCCTCATGATCTGTGTGCTCTGCAGCCGCGAGGCTGCAGCTGAAAATTGCCCCGTCTTTGCACTATGCTAAAGCTGTGCCTCATCGTTGCCAGCGGTGGCCTGGTTTGGGATGATGTTAGTATTCTTCTGCATTTTTGAAATAAATATTCATTTAAATTTAGTTTTTCTTCCTCAGGAGAGCTGGAAAGGCTCATCTTTAAGTCATAGAGCTCCTAAGTGTTGCAAATAAACTTAGTGAAATACCAGTTTTGGTTAAACAGCTTACACTAAGCAGGACATGAAGACAAGGCTTTTATCTGCAATTTATAGGCCAGGTTAGTAAAATAGACAGATTAAAGATTGGATTTTCTGAAGTATTTTGTTTAGATAATTGCTTTTTAAAATCTTGGCTTAAGCACCTTGCTCAGGGGCACCACAACAAATCCATGATTGTGATGGGAGTCAAAATCAAAACACAGTTTCTCAGCCATGTTCCTTTTGTTCCCTGTTTCTTCACTTCTTCTCTTTCTCAATTTCTTTTTAGTTACTCTAATATTAAAATCCTTTTTGACCCCATAAAAATGACCTATGTATTTGGCAAGTCAGCTACATTTATGTCAGTTATGTAGTGATGGATACTTCAGGCTATGCTTGAAAAAACCCTGAAGTATCAAGTACCACCAAAAGGGAGATTGGCACTGCAGGGTTTAAATTAGCTTGATGTCTTTACACTTGGCATTTTCATAATTTCTAAGACCTATCAGTTGTTCCACAGTGAAGTAAATGTTTATTTCCACCCCATTACACCAATGTCATGATCAAGACCTCCAGTTCAACTTGAATATAGCTTTGAGCATGGGCTTGGATGGTAATGGCAGTGCAGCTGTTGTAAAAACAACAACAACGATTTTTTTTTAATTTTCATGCTAATTGGATAAATTTCCTTTTCCCTGCTATTTAATGCATTAATAATACTTTTACCCTTTCTTTTGAATGTTATCTGTATTCCATTACTCCTTTGCTTTACTGCATGTCCTCAGCTCATTAAATCTTGCCCTTCGCTGGGCAGCAGTGGCATTGCATTGGTAGCACAGCGCATACCATCTGCATTTATTCCTAGTCATTTTATTTTGTGCTTGCACTTAGATGCAAGCTTTTTGAAATCAAGGTTATTAAAGGGGAAAGACAACAAAGTGCAGAAAAAAAAAGAAAGTCTGAGAAAGAAATCAGAGATCTTAGGTGAAGTGTTGGCCCAACTGAGATGTTCCCATTAACTAACTTCAACAAGAGTATATTCCTTCTCACTGGTGACTGAAAAATAATCCCTGCAGCAGCTATAAATAATACTCACCTGAAGAGGTGACATTAATAATGCATGGCCCAGATTTTAGAGGTGCATTCTTACCCCAGTCCCAGCTAAAGCCGTGAGACAGTAGCAGCAATTGTTCTGCATCCTTCACCATCAGGTCATGCAATTTTAATTCCTGACATCTTATTTAGAGGCTGCTTCTGACATGCAAGTTTGAAAACTTTCGTGGTTTACGGAAGACAGAAGCGCTACAAGGTTTCTCACTACCTGATTCAGACTAGTTAAAGGCAGGCAGGAGACTCTCTGCAAGCTGCTTTTCAGCTGTGTTTATTATGCCTGAGTTGATGAAACCTGTAAGTGGATAGAGGTGGTTGAGCTGATCCGGAATAATGTTGCACCTGCCATCACAAGGATTCACGGATGCTCAGAAGGGTTATTCGGCATCCTTCATGATGAGGCAGTGCTCAGTTTTTACTTTGCCCTCCTCCCCCATTTTTTTCCTCCATATGAATAAAAAAATTGAGCAAGGAGGTTCAGGGAGCGTGAGCTCTAGAACATATCTCCAAGAGAAACTTGAATTTCGATTATGTCAAATAATCACCAAAAAAAAAAAAAAACAGCCCAAACCCCCATATATTCTAATGAATCCCAGCTGAACAAACCATATAATTTTGAAAAAAAAATTACTATGTGAAAGTAAAGCATCCACTGCAGGACAGATAGTTAAAATGCATTTAGAAAATGAACCCAAGAATTAATTTTACAATAGAAGTGTGATGATGTTCGCGGTAAAATGACAAATAACCAACACAATGATATCTCCTCATTTTCCAGGCAGTTTTAGTGATTTGCACATTTAGACTTATAGTGTAAATGACATGGTGTGTGAATGATCACATATTGCATGAACACCTCTTATAAAAAGTTCACTGGTAAGAAATTATTGCTTTAGCATGAACGTATTGCTATAGTGTGAGTAATGATAATGGCATGCCAGAGGCATGGTGCTATGTCAAGGAAAAGTTTCCAGCTAAATGTTCTTAGAATATTTTTCTTTGCTCCAACATTCACCTCAGTGTTGCCTCGATGAGTAGATTTTTGCTGCAGAGAACACAAGTTACAAACAATCTGCATAGTAGCTATGCAGCCCAATCATAAACTTCAATGCTGTGCAGCATTTGGGGGGGAGAAAAACAAAAACTAAAACAAAAAACCCACATAACCTTAGGAAAACTGTGCAAAAATAATACTCCTGTGAATGACACAGGGTTAAGCAACCTCATGAAATTCAGCGAATGCAAATGCTGAGTCCTGTGCCTGGGATGGATTAACTCCATGCAACAGTGCAGAAGTTGGGGGTTGATTGGATATGGAATAACTTTACAGAAAAGGTGCTGACAAGGTGTGCATGAGTTAGAAGGGTGTTAGCCCAGGGAAGCTCAGGTTAGCCCAGCATCTGATGTGCTGTGTCCAGCTCTGAGCTCTCCAGTACTAGAAAGACAGTGTAGAGCCACCAAGATGCATGAGGAAGGTCTCAGACAAGTGGCTTTGCTCCATCCTTAAGAAGGCAAGATTCCAGGAAAACATTATTGCTGTCTGCAACTACCTCATGAAGAGGTGCACAGAGGATTAGAGGCAGATTTTTTAAGGTGTACCATGGCAGGAAAATAGGAAGAAATTCTCATTAGGTACAAGAAAAAGCTTTGCCACCATGAGGATGGTCAAACACTGTAGGAGGTTGCCCAGAGAAGTTGTGGAGTCTGTCATGGGAGGTGCTGATTGGACATCAGCCTGAGCAACTTGGTCTAATTGAACCTCCCTTGAGCTGAAGAGTGTAAATGATCTTCCCAAGTCTCTTTGAAAAAATCAAATTATTTTATCATTCCATAAGATTATGATAAAAAAAAAAAGAGGACTAGATAAATTTGAAAGTGAGTTTTGCGTGAGAAACGAGACCACTTTAAAAGCTTTATGTCTAAAATTGCATAATTAAGAAAGAACGTAACTGAAGCTTACAACTCATGTTGGCTCAGTGGTAAAACAGAGATGACAATGAGAAATGAAAATGGATACATAATGCAAGTGGAATTAAAGACAAGCAGATGGAACTTAACATAAAATACAGCTTATCCAGTGTAGAGCTTTGTTAAAGGAGACTGAAACAGAAGGTGGGATGCCTTGGCGGGCAGGAACAAAGACCATCGGATGATCCTTAAAAGTGTTGCTAAGGACAGAAGAAGAAAAAAGAGAAATAAATGCTAGGTGTTATCCTATTTTAGGGGAAGAAGGTTAATTTTTCACCAATGCTAATATGAAATCAAATATATATTTCTGTTTTGCATTTATGAAGGACAGGGCGAATATTCTTTTTTCACTGTAAGAGGATAAAGCTCATTGTATTCATTCCCAACCAAAGGTGAATTAAACAATATTTATCAGTGCTTAGAAGGGACCAGGAAAGATCAGGGTTCAAGATGTGAAAAAAAAATATTGGTATCTATGAAAGCCTAGGAGAAAATATATTTTTCTTTCTTTTTTTTTTTTCTTTCATCATTAGCTTTTCCAGTTTATGGAAAGATCTAAATCACTATAGCAATCACTTGCTTATTGAAACTAAACCTTATTGACTTTAAGACTGAGGAATGCTTTATGAATTATTTATTTTGATAGTATTTATTTGAGACACGTATGCACGCTTTACTTCTGAGTTATAGCAAATATATCTAGCATGAAAGATGGAGCTGCTCTGTGGTCTAAAATTAATATGTGTGGCTTTTTTGCCTGTTCACCCATTTCTAAAACAGGCAAAATCAGCACTGATAAGATGATATAGTTGAATTGAAGGCAAACCCATTTGTTATATTTATAGGACTTAAATACTATAGGTGATTGTTACAATGCAGATACGAAAACCTCCATGATGTTCTGAGATACTTTTGGCAAATACATGCATGATTCCTATGTACATATGTATGCTTGAGTGTGTGAATATGTATATGTACCTAAGTGTGCTTATTCAAACTAAATTTACACAGATTAAGAACTAGCAAGAAATACTAGTTACTGTCAAAGTATATAGGGAACATCATACTGAGAGTTCACTGTTTGGTAACATAAACAGTTGTGCCACATAAAATCAAAGGGCAGCCAAGAAGAAGAATCAGGCAGCAGAATGACAGCAGAAACTCTTAGGATAGGCCAAAAGAAAAAGTATGTGTCACCAGCTATGCAAAAATCACAGCTGCCAGAGCTAGAAAGGAGGCCTGGCAGGCAATTTTAACTAGTTTTATTAATCAGCGAAGTCTTAATTCCTGTTATTTTCTATATGGGTCAGGGGAAACTCATTGTTTCAAACTTTGCAAAAACTTTGGGGTTGCTCAGTGCCTCAGTTTTCACTTCGAAAACTTCTAAAGTGGTAGATGAGTCCTGAGAGGGTGAGCAGCTAGGTGCTGTCCAAAGGTGAATATAAAGCATTGCTTCATAAGTGAAAGCAGGAAATTTTCATAGCAAAAGCTTCTAACAAGCCAAAAGTAAAAATACAGAAAATAACTATCTATAGGTTGATGTATTCTGAATTTAGAAAGAATCAAGTATACACCTTGACTGCTAGGATGAAACATGTCAACCCTCCTAAGGAAATGACGTTTGAATTATGGGGTCA